AAATATTTAGAAAAGTAGTGCATAATAAATGTTTATATGTTCATGACAAAATAATCAGCTATAAAACACTGTACAAAAATCAGCAGGCCATGTATTAAATGCTGTATTTGAATAACCAATAGATGTCACAAATACATTACAACACATTTGCCTGCATGGAACAATATAATGTCTCATTATTATGTGAGATCACTGCCTCAGTTGTCTTGTTAATAGAAATTAAATAGTAATGTAACATAAGCAAACATTGTATAATTCGAGCATTCCTTCAAAGTTTGCTGTATTCTCCTAGCTATTTTATTGCTCTCAGTGGTATTATTTTTATTAGTGTGTGTGTCACCATGTTGCCATTATGTATTTTTCCCATCAATTTCTCATTCTGATTGATCATCTTCGTCTTGTCCACATCAATTCATCATCAATTAAAAAAGTTGTTGACGAATTTCATCAAACAAAAAAAACATTACTGTGATGACACATTCCTTTAGTGAGCATGGCCACTGACCTGGTCTCTGCACCAGCAGTGCTTCTGTATGATGCTGATATAATAGGCTCATTCAAATACAAAATAGACATAGTATCGTATATTGATAATCAAAACGCACAATACATATTAGATCAGCTGCTTTCATAGGTTAATATAATGTCCTGGATTTGATTTCAATCTAGAAACATTATTGTTATTCCCTGTCATTGTAATTCCTGATTAATTCAATGCTATCTCCTACAACTTGTGTTTTTTTCTCTGCAGTGGATGCTTTACGAATAACAACTCAAAATGCCTTCAAAGCAACTCCGTCGAAAAGAGCGAAGGAAACTCTACACCTCACTGGCTGGAGAGGTGAGTTCTCACTCATAAATGATCATTTGGGAATATTTTTGTTTTAACAAATCCAAAAGAGTGAGACCCCTGTGCTCTAGAATAGTTATCTACTGCTAGTGCAATGTCAGATTTAGGATTTGCATTCTCCAAGTAAAACTTTCTTTGTGGTATTTCTTGTGGTATTTCCTGAAATTTTTCACCAGGTTCGTTTAAAGTATTGCTCTCAGGAGAAGAGGAGAATTCCTCCTTTATACTTCTCTACTTTATACATTTCCACATGTGAACACAGCCCATTATTAATGCATAGTTTCTGCTCTGCAGAGAAAAGACACGTAGACAGCAGAAAGTACACTTTGTGAGACAAACAGCATGAAATGATCAGCAGAAAACCAGTTAATAAGAACTGTGTCTCTAGTTCCAGAACAAACCAATTAGTTCTATGGTGGTTGGTTTGGATCTTTTCTTGGGCTTTGTACAAGAAGAATAAATTTATACGTAATTTATCCTCAATTTGAATTAGTGCAGTGCCTGTTCTAAACAAGCCTGTTTGCTTTGCCTGTGTTAATGCTCTTGAGCTACTTCCAACAGTTCTACTATATAGTGTCACTGTTGCATCACTGTCATTTACACTATGTTTTTAGCCTAAATGTTCTCTGATACCCTCCTCTGGAGCCTTGAGACTAAAAACATGGTGTGAATGCCACTGTTTCGAGTAAAATTTTAATGACGCGCTTACTTCAAGCGTAATGGATTCAATTGTATTGGATTTGGCTGCAATGCTATTTACCCCCTGAAACTCCAAAGTGTTTTGTGGACTCAAATACTTCCCCCACCTCTCCATCGGCTTAGTGGTGAGTGAATAATTACAGAATTTTCATTATTGCGTGAAGTATCCCTTTAAGTCAATTCTGAGAAAATAGCCATGGGCACTTACAGTGAAGGTTCAGTGTGTAAGATGTAGGTGAAAGGGATCTATTGGCAGACATTTAATGTAAAATAATCCTCATGATGTTTTCACTAGTTCGTTTCATCTAAATTGTATGAATTGTAGTTTTCTTTACCCCAGAAAAGGCTCTTTAAATTTAAATACTTTATATTTACATTGAGGGGACCCTCTCTACGGAGGCCGCCATGTTTTTTACATTAGTCCAGACTGGACAAACTAAACACCTTTTGAGTTTTTATGACAACTGAAGCTACCACAGGTTCTTTTTCATGTTTGAAAGGAGAGGGTGAGGTGAGGGGTGTTCAGCTGCAACATGTAATTTCAACACTAGATATCATTAAAT